TTCCTCTCCGATTCCGGGTTCATCTCTACCAACAAACAAGAGACCAGGAGATAGAATATAAAATTCTTCCTCTCCATCATCGGGTTCATCTCTACCAACAAACAAGAGACCAGGAGATAGAATATAAAATTCTTCCTCTCCGATTTCGGGTTCATCTCTACCAACAAACAAGAGACCAGGAGATAGAATATAAAATTCTTCCTCTCCATCATCGGGTTCATCTCTACCAACAAACAAGAGACCAGGAGATAGAATATAAAATTCTTCCTCTCCATCATCGGGTTCTATACCAATTCAGTGGTAAAAGTTGAATCTACAAGAGCAAATACCGACTTCAATTCAGGATCTTGACAACGGTCAAGCGATAAACGCGACGCTGGGAGAATTTTAGCTATTCTACGAAGAACTGAATAGACTAAAAGCAGAAAAGATCAAGCATTGAAGTCATGTACAAGTCCTTCCACATGATCTACTCAACCAAGCATTGAAGGGATCGTAAGCAAGACTTATCTTATCCAAAGTATCCCAGAACTCCTCTATAAAAGAATGAGTCTGGAATACTTTGGAGGGGGTATCTGTAGGCGTCAAAAAATGCTGAAAGATATCCAAATACAGGGAAAACCACCCAAAATTGACAAATATGAACTGTCTCGCCAGCGAGACAGACTTTGCTGTCTCGCCAGCGAGACAGTGTTTACTGTCTCGCTAGCGAGACAGTGTTCTCGCCGTGCGAGACAGAATTTACTGTCTCGCACGTGAGACAGCTTTCAGATGGTCAAAACTACCTTTGTAACTGCCCTACACGTGGCCACTAACTGTTCAAGAACGTGGGAAACGTCGTGGGCGAGAATCACGTGGATAACTGCCAAAATAACGGAGTTTGAAACGTGGGAAAGCAGTTACATCGAAAACTGCCAGAAATGTAGACAGTATTTTACTGTCTCGCTGGGCGAGACAGCAAATTTACTGTCTCGCTGGGCGAGACAGCAAACACTGTCTCGGCCAGCGAGACAGCAAACACTGTCTCGCCCGCCGAGACAGCAAATGCTGTCTCGCGAGCACTGTTCATCCTATGGGTATAAATACCCCCTGAAATCGATTTTCTGAAGAGGGGCTGATCATTTTGAGCACTTCAGAGCAATCCAGAGCACAGAGAGAGCAGAGGTGCTGATCTTACGGCCAATCCTTGATAATCAGGCTTTGACTTGATTTCAAGAAGAACGACTATCTTACATCGATAAGATATCGTTTCAATTTCTCACTTCGATAAACGAAGTCAGAATCATAAACCCCTCACGATTCAATCAGAATCTGTGATTTGGTGGTCCACGAGTCAAAGCGCTCCCGGCACAGGCAAAGATCCCACGAAAGCAGTGATCCAAACAACGATCCTGCGTTTATTTTCTCAAGAGTTGTAATTTTCTTTTTGTTGTGTAAAAGAGTCTTATAAAAAGGCTGTTTTCTTTGAATTTATTGTAATCGACCGAAGATATAATGAATTCGACAACAAATTCGACTTTTGGCGAAAACAATGACAAATACACAGAAAACAATACTCAAAGTAAATGACGAGAGATATACGTGGTTCGGCAAATTTGCCTACGTCCATGGGAGGGGTGAAGGGAGATTCCACTATGATGGAGAACACTGACGACTTGCACAACCCACACGCTCCTCCCAAAGAGATGAAGCTTCGATTTTACCCAAGAGAAGACAACCTCTTTCTTGTTCAATCCCTCTAAGTTCTCTCTCCTTTCTCTCGTCAAGATCTCTCCTTTTCAGATCCAAAATCTCTGTTACACGTTATATCGTAAGTATAGCACGTTAACATGTAAGTATAACACGTTAAATTGTAAGTATAACACGTTATATCGTAAGTATAGCACGTTAACATGTAAGTATAACACGTTAAATTGTAAGTATAACACGTTATATCGTAAGTATAACACGTTAACATGTAAGTATAGCACGTTGACCCGCTACACTTACATGATAACCCGCTACACTTACAGTGCAACCCACTACCCTTACATGATAACCCGCTACACTTTCAATCACAAACATAGATATGTTACAAAACATCCTCTACACTTAACACGGTACATTTTCAATCACAAACACCATCACAAGCTGAAATATGCTACAAACTCATCACTACATTCAGTCACAATTTTAGAGATCATACAAATTTTAACAATGACCAATTTTAACATCCTCGCATATATGTTACAAAACATCCTCGCATATTACAAAACATCCTCACATATATGTTACAAAACATCCTCACATATTACAAAACATCCTCGCATATATGTTACACTTGCAGCACAAATTGAAATATGTTACAAAACATCCTCGCATATATGTTACAAAACATCTTCACATGTATTTCAGATACATTCACAGTCACAAACTTAGCCAAAAGCTGAGAAATGTTACAAAACATACTCACACATATTTCAGATACATATATTACAGAACAATTTTAACTTAAATCCAGTTTTCCCTCTTCTTTCTTCTTTCTTGTTTTTCCTTTTCTAGCTGGCCCATTACTCGTCTCGGAGGCTCAACGCGCTACAAGCATCATTAGGAACAAATTTAAGTATATAAACAACTCTCAACATGCAAAGAATAATAAAGAATGTAATAGATAGTTGCAAACTTGGGTTAAAGGCTTTGTTGTTGTTTGCTATAATGACTAATTCCTACAAAGCTTCTTGCTCTCTGATTCCTCCACAATACATGAAAGAACATCAAATAAAAAGCATTTTGTAGAAGCACAATACCCCTTACCAAAACCATGTCAGTCATACCCAGAATCAAACATCAAACTACCACGATATCATAGGCAACAACAATTTAGAACTAATATTAATAGAACCAATGATGAACCATGTCAGTCATTTTCAAGGAAACAAAGAAGGACAAGGAGCAAACCAAATATAATTTTGACAGGACAAAAACCCCATAATAATAACAGAGAACCAATAAGTCAAAGTTGTAATAAAAATGAATTCGTTGCTGGCTTATACCGATGGCAAACGTTCATAAGTAGAGCACAAACCTATTTGGCAGTCTACTCATTACCACACATGTAATTATTCAAAAAAGAACAAGTACCGGTTGACGCACACACCAATTACCAATTGTTCATGTGTAAATTTCTTATTTCTGCTTATCGTTGATTTATGTGGTAATCAAATTCAAAATAACATCCATTCACTTACATATATGCCATGTTAATTACAAAATCCTAATAATAGAAGCATTAAGAGACCTAGGAACCCTAATTAAAAAAAATTTATCATTCTAGATTCAAGTAATATAGTCGAGACTGGCAATGGATCACGCGTAACAATGGGCGGACCTCTCCCTAGTAATCGAATATTACCGAATTTGAAATGGGTTTCGGTTCCAGTTTTGTTCTCAGTTTGAAACAGTTGACTTCTAATTAGGTTTTCAGTTAATAAAAGGAGAAGTGGGGGTCATCTGATAAGATTCACTTACCAATAGCTTATTGGGTAAGAATACTTGAGGGGCAGAGAAGCGGCAGCGGGAAACGTCGAAAGGATTTGACGGCGGCGAGAAAAATCGTCGGTGAGAGGAGGAGGGAGATACTGGGTAGGAAAATGAGCGGGCTACGGCTAGACGGTTGGAGATGGGCGACGACGAAAATGGGATGTCGTTTTTTCAATTTAGGGCTGAGGTGAAATGGGGAAGATGAGAGAGTACTGGGTTTTATTGGGCCAATCAAAGGGGTATTTTGGGGTTTTTACAATCATTTTGTATAAATATAAGTAGTAAAAGTATTGTATTTTAGAATTGGCTTTAAAGACAAATACCAAAAGTGAATTGGGTCTAAAGATACAAATAATAGTACTTGGGTTTAAAAATAAATGGGAGTAAACAAATAGGCCTAAAGACAAAAACCCCATATTTTAAATATTCAGATGTGGACCTCGATATTTAGTTATGATATATCATAGGACAAAACAATCTAATCACCTTTGAATTATCGATGAACTTTCAATTTCCCTCGTAAATTATTGATTTATCTATTTTCTCTTAAATTATAGTTATATATTCAATATAGTCATTTGGTAAGCCTCTAGTCAAATATTTAACCAATTAATGATGTGACGCTGTTATTTTGTATTTTTTGAATGTTTTGCAATTATAAAATTGTTTTTCCTATTTCATTAATGTCATCTATTCCTTTACACTGTTTCATCACAAAATTCAATTGTATTCATAGAAAATAGCTATGTGACATCCGTATATGTATTTGTAATTGTAAGTTAACAAATACACATATCACATGTATCTTTGGATATCCACTCACCAACAGTCCACCCGATTAGGGGTGCACGCGGTCTGGATACGGCTCGAAATAGATGTTTGCCACATCCATATCTGCTTACCCATACCGGATGCGATACAGATACAAATATACCTCGGTAAGGAAAATTCATATCTATATCAGCTAAAATCGCATACAGTTACAGATATAGATGCAGATATAAAGCAGATATGTATGTGGATACAAAACAGATATGATTAAAACTAGACAATGTTGAGAATAACATAGTTCATATGATACAAAAGAGGTCGTTAATATGTTCATTATAACTAAAAAGCAAAGATTGGATATATTGATAATCAAAATTAACCATGAATCCATAATTTAAGAGTTGAAACTATCGTAAGAGTATCCCTAATATGTATTCGAATATTTCGGATACAGATATGGATATTTCACTATAAAACTATATCTATAATCATATCCTATCAGTTATAGATTTGAATAACTATATCTGTATCTAACGAATATGGTTACGGATATTTCATCAGACACGAATACAATTTAGCACCCCCACACCCGATATATGTTAGCATATACTTACTGATATTTCATCGTATACGGATACGGTTTAGCACCCCACACCCGATATATACAAGCTTTGTTGGATTCGGATTATAAGAAGCTATAAACAAACGAACCCACACCGAGAAAAACCACTACTAAAAAATGCTGCTCTCTCCTCCCTCATCCTCTCCTGTCTCACTCTCTCCCCTAAAAACTCTGAAGCCCAAAACCCCGCAAAAGTTCACAATCACAGCGAGCGCTTCGACCAAGAGAAGCAGAGGAGAAGATGACTACCACTCAATCCTCAAAGCCCTCAACTCCAAAGGCCGCAGAACCCCGAGAAAATCCCTCGGCCAGGTACCCACTTCAACAAAAAATTTGGAAAAAAAAAACATAAAATGGGACCAAAATTGATATGGGGCTTGGGTTTTTGATTGTTTTCTTGCAGCATTACATGGTGAATTCGAGCATCAATGAGCAGCTGGCCGCTGCGGCTCAGGTTGGAGATGGGGATGTTGTTCTCGAGATTGGGCCTGGCACTGGATCGCTTACTAATGTTCTTATTGGTGCTGGGGCCACTGTGATTGCTGTTGAAAAGGTTTCAATGGATTTTGATTTCAATTTCATTCCATTGAAGTATATTTTGTGCTCAGAAATTAATGTGATTTCTCGGTTACATGAATCTTTTGTAGTAGATTTTTCTGAGTGCTAATATATAAACAATATCTTTCTGAATTAAAAATAGAAAACAAAAATAATTTATTAAGAAGAACAATAAGGTGTTCATCTTATTTAGAGGTTTGGTACATAATCCAACAAATTTTAATGTGGTTATAATTAATATGATTTGTTATTCGTAAAAAAAATAACATATTTGTTATTTCGATTGAAGTCTGTATAGTGTTTCAAGGGAGATTTTACCGAGATTTTAGTGATATTGCATGACTACTGTTGGTTTCAGGATCCACACATGGCCGTTCTTGTGAAGGAAAGATTTGCGGGTTCCAAACAATTAATGGTATGAAACTGTCTTATCCTACAAATCTTTTATGTTTTCTTCATATTCTTAAACAGAATGGTGTAAAAAACTGATTCGAAATTACACACAGGCATTGCACTCTGCACACATTTATAGAGAGTTGCACAACTCTGATGCTAATTTCTTTGGTTCAATAATTGGTCAAAACTTTAATTGAAAGTTAATTTATTATGTGCACATCAAAGTTTGCAATTTTCATGGGCTATATAACCCATGTTTTTTGACAATTTTGGTTCGTTTTGAATGGATGTAAATAAATTATATGCACATCAAAATTCATCATTATCATAAGCTATAACCCACAATTTATCAATTTTGGTTCGTTTCCAACAAATGTTAATTTATTATGTGTACATCAAAATTTGCTATTTTCAGGCTATAACCCATAATTTTTTTACAATTTTTGTTTGTTTTTAATTAATGAAAATAAATTATGTGAACATCAAAATTTACAATTTTCATGAAATATAACCTATGATTTTTTGTAAGTTTATTATGTATACAAAAAATTATGATTTTCATGAGCTATGACCCACAATTTTTTAAAATTTTGATTTGTTTTGAACAAATGTAATTAAATTAAGTGTACATCAAAATTCGTGTTTTTTATGAGCTATAACCCACGAATTTCGTAAATTTCAATTCGTTTCAAACAAAAGTAAATTTATTTTATGTACATAAAATTTGCGATTTTCATGGGCTATAACCCATAATTTTTGACAATTTTGGTCCATCTTGAATGAATGTAAATAAATTCTATGTACATTAAATTTGGCAATTTCAATGAACTATAACTCATGATGTTTGTCAATTCAGGTTTTTTACGAAAGAAAGCAAAATAATTATTGTACATTAAAATTTATGATTTCCACGACTTATAATCCATGATTTTTGTCTATTTTGGTTCCTTTCGAATAAATGTAAATTAATTATTTGTACATCAAAATTCATGATTTTCATGAGCTATAACCCACAATTTGTCAATTTTTGCTTGTTCTATATGAAAGTTAATTTATTTTATGTACATTAAAATTTATGATTTTCATGGACTATAACTCATAATTTTGTAACAATTTTTGTTTATTTTGTATGAATGTAAATAAATTATGTAAACATCAAAATTCATAATTTTCATGAGCTAATATTTTGTTAGTTTTGATTCGTTTCGAATGAAAGTAAATTTAATGTGTTCATCAAAATTAACGATTTTCATGGGCGATGACTAATTATTTTTTGACAATTTTGGTTTATTTTGAATGAATGTAAATAAATTATGTGTACATCAAATTAGCGAATTCTATGAGCTATAACCCATAAAATTTATCAATTTTGGTTCGTTTTGAAAGAAAGTAATTTTATTTTGTGTATATCAAAGTTTGCGATTTTTATAGGCTATATAACCCATGATTTTTGACAAATTTGGTTCGTTTTGAACGAATGTAAATAAATTATGTGTACATCAATTTTGCAGACTTTCATGAGCTATACTCACAATTTTTATTTGTTTTGAAAGGAAGTATGTTTAAGATTGTGATTTTTATGAGTTGTAATCCATGATTTTGGTACGTCCAAATCATGATTTTCATAAGATATACCCACGGTTTATCAATATTGGTCGTTCAAATGAAGTTAATTCTTATTTGTACATTAAAATTGCATTTTTCATGGGCTGTAACTCATAATTTTTGATAATTTACATTCGTATTGAACGAATTTAAATAAATTATATGTCCATCAAGTTCATAAATTTCATGAGCTATAACCCACAAATTTTATCAATTTTGATCATTTCGGACAACTGTAAAACATTAAAATTTGCTATTTTTCGTAAGCACCCATCAAATTTTCTAGTTTGATTTATTATGGTTATATCAAAATTTGCGATTTTCATGGTCTACAAATATATGATTTATTGATAATTTTGGTTCATTTTAAGCAAATGTAAATATATTATGTGTACATTAAAATTTCAATTTGCATTAGCTCTAACTCACGGTTTCTATCAATTTCGGTTCATTTTAAAGTTTGTAATTTTATAGGCTATAACCCATGATTTTTAAAAATTTTGGTTCGTTTTGAACGAATGTAAATAAATTATGTGTACATTAAATTTGGAGATTTTCATGAGCCATACTCACAATTTTTGTTCGTTCCGAAAGGAAGTAAGTTTATTAAGCGCACATTAAAATTTGTGATTTCCATGAGATATAATCCATGATTTTGGTACATCTAAATCATGATTTTTATAAGATATAATCCATTCTTTATCAATATTGGTCATTCAAATGAAGTTAATTCTTATTTGTACATTAAAATTTGTGATTTTCATGGGTCACAATCCATAATTTTTGATAATTTACATTCGTATTGAACGAATGTAAATAAATTATATGTACATCAAATTCACAATTTTCATCAAATTTGCAATTTTTATCAAATTCACAATTTTCATGAGATATAACCCCACGAATTTTATCAACTTTGGTTCATTTCAGACGACTGTAAAACATCAAAATTTGCTTAAGTTTCATAAGCACCCATGAATTTTTCTATTTTGGTTCATTTCGAACGAAAATAAATTTGTTATGGTTATATCAAATTTTGCGATTTTCATGGTCTATAAACATATGATTTTTGATAATTTTGGTTTGTTTTAAAAAAAATATAAATAAATTATTTGTACATTAAAATTTCAATTTGCATTAGCTATATCTTACAATTTCTATCAAGTTTGGTTCATTTCAAACAAAAGTAAATCAATTATGCATATATAAAATTTTATGATTTTCACGGGTTAAAATCCACAATTTTTGTAATTTTGGTTCATTTCAAAAGATTTTAAATTAATTATATATGCATCACAATTCACAGTATTCATGAGCTATAATCCATGAATTTTGTCAATTTTTGCTTCGTTTTGGATGGAAGTGAATTTATTATGTGTACATCAAAATTTACGAATTCATGGGTTGTATAACCCACATTTTTTGACAATTTTTCTTCATTTTAAACAAATATAAATAAATCACTTGTAAATAAATCACTTGTACATAAAAATTTTATGTATAACCCATAACTTTTGTCAATTTTGTTTTGCTTCTAATGAAAGTAAATTTATTGTACATACTTTAAAAGTTGCAATTTTTATGGGCTATTACCTACAATGTTGACACTGGTTCGTTTTGCACGAAAGTAAATAAATTATGTGTACATTAAATTTCTCGAATTTAATGAGCTATAGCACAATTTCAGTCATTTACTGTTTTTTTCAAAAGAAAGTATTATGTATACATTGAAATTAGCAATTTTTATGGGCTATTCCCTTGATTTTTGAAAATTTTCATTAGTTTTGAGTGAATGTAAATAAACTATTTGTACATCAAAATTAGCGATTTTCATGAGATATAACTCACGATTTCTGTCAGTTTAGATTTGTTTCGAACGAAAGCAAATTAATTAAGTGTACACTAAAAGTTGTGATTTCCAAGGGTTATAATCCACGACTTTTGTCCATTTTTTTCGTTTTGAAGAAACGTAAGTTTATTATGTATGCATAAAAATTTGTGAAATTCATGAGCTATAACTTATGATTTGACGACTTTTGTTCGTTCAAATGAAAATTAATTTATATGTATACATCAAAATTTGCGATTATCATGGACTATAACCTATGATTTACGATAATTTTTGTTTGTTTTGAACAAATATCATTAAATTATTTGTACATTGAAATTCGCGAAATTTATAAGCTATAACCCATATATTTGTCAATTTTGGTTCATTTCAAACGAAAGTTAAATTATTATGTGTACGTCAAATTTTTTTATTTTCATGCCCTATTACCCATGGTTTTTGACAATTTGGGTTATTTTAAATGATTTTTGACAATTTTGTCAAATATTGTTCATTTTGAATAAAAGTAAATTTATTATGCGCACATTAAAATTTGTGATTTTCATAGCCTATAACCCGTGCTTTTAAACAATTTTCATTCATTTTGGACAAATGTAAACAAATTATGTGTACATCAAAATTAGCAATTTTCATAAGTTATAACTCACACTTTCTGTCAATTTCGAGTCGTTATGACCGAAAGCAAATATATTATGTGTACATAAAGAATTTGCGATCATAGGCAATAACCCATGATTTTTATCAGATTTTGTTCAGTGAAGAACAATAGATTAGATATGGCTACAAATGCCTTACCTAAAGATTCAATATATATTTACAATAGACCTGCTTTACAATAGACCTGCTGAGGATTCATAAGCAAGGCTTCTTAATCACCATCTTTCTATCATTGAAGTTCCGTGCATTTTGATTTCACTTTTCGAATTATGTTAGGATGATTTAGAATACAATTAGGTCAAATTTTTGTTTCATAAGAATATAAAGAAGGATGATATTTTTAATTGACTATACAATATACTTAATTCAATATTTTTAAGATAATCACTACAGGTATTGAAAGAAGATTTTGTTAAATGTGACATTCGTTCTCATTTGAGCTCTGTGCTGGAGGACAAGAAGTATGCAAAGGTGAGAATTTAAACAGAAGAATTTACCTCACTCGTGTATGTGCAAACAATGTGGATGTTTGGTTTTCTCCTTTTAACTTACGTTATTTTGTATATTCAGAGAAATATACATATTTGTGTGTTTTCATGTATACATACATACATATCGTATGTATGCGTGTTTGTGTTCGTATTCACATGCTTATCCGACATAAATAAATTCCTTGTTTGTTATTTCTCTTTGTAGGTGGTTGCTAATATCCCATTCAATATAAGTACTGATGTTGTGAAGTTGCTTCTTCCAATGGGTGACATCTTTTCTGAAGTTGTGCTGTTGCTTCAGGTTTGTCCTTTGTACTGCCTTTTAACCATCCGGAGCCTTCACAACTGTGGTATCTATCCACTGCTGTCATCAGTTATCTTGTTGACTTTCTTGTTTTCATGAGATGCACAGATGAAGAATTATACTGCGATTGAAGGAATTTATTTTATCCATCTTAAATCATAAATACCAAGATTAATCCTAATCTTTTGGTTATGAGAGGTTCCAGATCTTAGCCGGGCTATGTGTCCTTTGTCCTTAAAATATTCAATACATTGAACCACTTGCGGTATCCCTCACAGTAAGTAACACCTGTATGAGAACTAGAGGATGCATTCGTCATTATAAAAGACTTTTATCAGCCCAAGCATGATAAAACTAAAAATTGGAGTATACAGTAAAAAGCATTTTGATAATTAAAAAAGGATTGTTTCATGTTTTGCAATGATTTAGGGTGACTAATGTCTTGGTTGTTTTGCTAAGTCATAAGTTTAAAATTCCTTCTTGGTCGTTTTGCTAAGTCATAAGTTCAAAATTCCTTGAACTTCATGCAGAATTCAGTACAAATGTCACGATAGCAGAAGTTCACTTATTACTTTTGCCTGAGGATAGTTATGATTATTGATGTTTATGTTCAGTGAATTCTGAAGTAATTACCTGTTGTAGGATGAGACCGCATTACGATTGGTAGATGCTTCCTTAGGCTCATCGGAATATCGGCCCATCAACATCTTTGTAAACTTTTATTCAGGTAATGTGATCACTCCTGATTTGTTTTCATGTGCACCATATATTGCTCTTTTTATGAAAAGCATATATTTTTGGACATGGATAACCAATAAAGACTTTGGAATGACTCTGTTGGAGATATTTTTCTTAATTGTATGCCACAATAAACTCAGAATGAGAACGGTCTGACTTCTGAACTTTTCTCCTGCGGAGGCTTTTCTCTAATTTAATCATAGTTATTGGGTGATATTATTTATGACTCTAATGTCATGTTTCCTTGTAACTTTTCAGATCCTGAATACAAGTTTAAAGTTGAAAGATCAAATTTTTTCCCTCAACCAAATGTAAGAATTTTTTTTATCAACAGCTTTATTAATATGAGTATTTTCAACGTTAACTGTATATATGTTTTATTAACTTATCACCATAATCATCATAATTGTTATATTAGGAACAGTTCAAGCAAGTAGTTTTGATTTGGGACTAAACACAACTCTAACCAAATACCACTGTAATAGTAGCATTGATGCTTCTCATTTTTCAGGTAGATGCAGCTGTTGTTAGATTTAAGTTGAAGAAAAGTTCAGAATGCCCATCAGTTTCTTCCACAAAAAGCTTCTTTTCAATGGTATTTTTTACATTTGGGTCTTATAGTGATTCAAATTTAATCCATTTTTCGATTACTCATAGAAATAAAAGGTAACATGAGAACCAGTTTTCCGTCTCCTTTTGCCTATCTGTAGGTTGGTATTAATAGACCTTTAACATTAAGTACCCTGAAATCATCGAAGTTACTTGCACCAAATGATTGTAGCTATTCCATGAACCTGAAATCGTCTATTATTCTTTTTTGTTTCCTTTTAGGTGAGTTCTGCATTTAATGGGAAAAGAAAAATGCTGAGAAAATCACTTCAGCATCTATGTTCATCCCAAAATATAGAAGCTGCCCTCAAGGATGTGGATCTTCCGACTACGGTAAGTTTTTCATCACTTCTTTGCCGGCTAACTTCAGTATGTTACTTCTCAAGACACCTTGAATGATTCATTGCAGGCAAGGCCTGGAGAGCTTACGCTTGATAATTTTGTGAGGCTGCATAATTCAATTTCAAGATTTAGAATCTTGGATGTCAAAGAGTAGATTTGGCACCATTCTTTTCATGCGAAAAATCAGTGCAATTAGCAACTATGAGAGTAATACTTCACACAAAAGAACAGGTAAATCACAATGCATCGAGTTTCTTAGAGGATGAATTTACAGATAAAAAGAAAAACCTTCAACCTCTACCAAGCATTCATGATCTAGTTTCACTTTTATCAACAAAACCAGACCATTTAACTTGAATCCTGTCTAATGGCTCAAAGTCTATGAAGAAACAACTTTCTACTATATTATGTCCCAGGAAAAACAACAAATACATGGTTATAGAGTTTTCAGTCTGCTGTTCAGAAAACTTGGGGATAGCGTATTGCAATTAAATGTGGTACAGGATAATCATTTCAGGCCCTGTTGCAATTTGAGGCGGTTATCTATAATTTAGTGCAAAAAGAACATTGTCCAAACACATGGAGAAAGGTCCTATGTTCAATGGAATTTTTTTGGGTTAATTGCAAACAGACACCCTGCAGTATCACCTAATTGCAAAGAGACCCTCTGTAGTTCTCTTTGTTGCGAGTAGACCCCCTGTAGTTCTACTTGTTGCAAATAGACCCCTATCGTATTGGCCCGAGTGTGAATAACACCCCCTCAGTGAACTTTTTCGACTCTTTTAAAAGTTAAAAAAATTAGTAATTGGGTGTCTATCCTCACCAAATAGAACCATATGAGGTCCATCCACCTTCTCAAATATTTTAAAAGATTTCGAGAGTGGGAAAAAAAATTCAGTCAGGGTGTTATTTGCAGCAACTAGAACTATAGGGGTTTTATTTGCAACAAATAAAACTATGCGGGGTCTCTTTGCAATTGGATGATACTGCAGGGGGTCTGTTCGTAATTAACCCTTCAAAAATTTTTTTTTCTCCCATTGTTCCCTTGACAATTTCTGACTGAAACATCGTATTGCAGGTGACATACTCCCAGAGATCGCAAATCAAGTGAACGACGCATAACACGGTTTACTATTTGTTGTATGATCTCCCCACTCAAAAGTTCGAAAAGTAAAGAAAGAACGGAAGAAGAAAACCTTCGGTTGAACTGGGGAATGGATTTCTCAACGATGAAATAGAAGTAGGAACAAGCAAGGAATTGGTGAATCCACATGGGAACTCATAAGCTGCGCATGAAGCTTCATTCAATTTGGTCATGCAAAAGGGGTCCAAGCTTCTTGGTTTTTGGAAAAGACTTCATATATTCATGACCACAATGGATTCCAAGCTTCTTGTGCAATCTTGTATTTTCAAATAAGGACATTTATGGCATTGTGTTATAAGAAAGCGGTGCATAATATCATCAACACCCCCCCAAGAAGGATATTCTTTCATGTGATTCTTGTGCAACGTTCGCATGCGAATTTGGGCGAATTTGGGGGGGAATGAAAGAAATAGTTAAGAAAATCTTTATACAGGTACCAAGTAAAGGATGAGCAGTTAAGAAGCTGCTTTCCCTTATTTATATATATATCTTTCTTGAGTAATATCCTCTCTCACTAGTGAAAAGGAAAAATGAAGCGAGGCATCTCTATCCACTGACATCTCTCTTTGCTACATCACTATCCTACAGTCAAATATAGAAGTACTCTTCAAAATAAATAAATTGGTCAAGTAAAGGGTCTGATAAAAAAAAAAGAAAAATCTTTTCTGTGTTGGCTGCTTAATCTTTTCGCATCTCTGTATTATATTCATGCCTTCAGAGATAGATAGGGGTCACTAGCAAAAGCCAATAACAACTTAACAAGTTTCCATCCTCTCATCAACTTGGAAAGTTGGTGTATTTCTTTCTGGGCCTTAACACCCTCCACTATGCAATTCTTGGATTGGGGAAGCATCAAGCGCCACAA